TCCCCTCACAGAGTGGACACCAGGGTGGGAGTTGTTCGCTGGGCCTTTATACCAGTGTCCCCACATCAGAGCTGCCTGCCCCCCACAAGCAAGTGTTAGTGTTTAGCTGAGATTGCTCTTTCCATCTTCATGGGCCACTTCCATTACTTTTACGGCCTGTTGAATAACTAGTATTCAACCAAGTAAGTTTTTGAGATCTAATTGGCTTTCCTAATTGATTCATGAATCGGGCGCATCCTGTCTAGCAAGTAGAGGAGAGCTCCACTGAGCTGCAGGAAAGAAAAGGTTTTCGGGCGCCTGGGTGGCTCAGTTGGTTGAGTGACTGCCTTCGGCTCAGGTCATGATCCTGGAGTCCCGGGATCGAGTCCCGCATCGGGCTCCCTGCTCGGCGAGGAGCCTGCTTCTCCCTCTAACCCTCCCCCCTCTCGTGTACTCTCTCTCTCTCATTCTCACTCTCTCAAAGTGAATAAATCTTTAAAAAAAAAAAAAAGGAAAGAAAAGGTTTTCAAAGGCAGAGAGAGAACAGAAAAAGAAATTATTAGCAAAGAATGCATTGTTTTAAGCAAGGTCACCCTTTTAAGGGAAGGGAAAGGGTCTATCAGTACATTTCCTAGTGCTGACCAGGAAATTCCAGGCCGACTGGTTAAAGGTTACAATCCCAGGGGAGCTGAAACTGCAGTTAGGTTAGGTATTAAGTCTTGGTTTGCTGACATTGGGCTTTTAACATAGGTGACTCCATTTTGGGCCTGAGGGTTTCTTTCTAACAGACTCCAGTGTGAATCCCAGAGGCTAATAAATGCCACACTGGACTCCAAGTCCATCCTCCCTCATGACTCTTTACTTGGACCCAGCGTGTCACACGCAATCCGTTTCCCTTAAGAGGTATCTCCCAGGAGACCACTTGGGCAGTGGACCCAGGCAAGACTGTCCTACATAGTCCAAGAAGCTCCTGATAGAGCTGTTAACCCCGTGGCTGCCCGTGAACCCACAGCTCACACTCGAGTGAAGTCCCAATTTGACCTGCAGCCTTGTGGAGACTGTGCCCACGGAATGGAGGAGCCCAGTCACCTCAGGCCAAGGATTGGGAAACAGATTCCCTGAGAAGGACACATGATGTGAGGAACAGTGAAAGCCTAGGATCAGGTGTCTCCTATGTCCAGGCCCTACATGTGGAAACTGTAACAAAACCAGGTTGATTGTGTCAGTCACAGAAGGAAAGTCAGCATAAATAGAGCTTAGAAAACCTGGCTTATCTCTCAGGATTGCCCCGGGGGCAAGGTAAATATTTAGTTCCAGCCCTGGAATGGTGCCTGCTAATTCAGTGTTTTGCTATCATTTTTTTAAATTCATTCATCTTGCAAACATCTGTCATTCCCCCCCCTCCATGTGGCCACCCAAGGAGTGGCACTTCCATACCGGGATGGCTAAGAGGCAATCCTTGTCTTATCTTCTGTCATGTCAAGTCAGGGGTCTTGGTCAGGGAGATGGAGGGGAGCTGCCCTCCATTGAAGAGGGCTTCACAGAGGAGTCACTTTTAAGCTGGGTTTTTGGCTGGTGTGTAAACCTCATGAGAAGAACACAGGTAGGGAGGGGGCAGGGTAGAGTGTTCCAGATCTAGGGAACAGCATGTCTCTGGCTGGCTGGGTGACTTCTAAACGCAAGCTACCGTGGAAGTGCTTCCAGGCCAGCAGCACTCAGTCCAAGGGGAGCTGCTCGGACTGCAGGGTTTGTAGACCTGGCAGCCACTCACTGGAAGGGGCAAGTCCCTTTCTCTCTCCACGCCTGAGTTTCCTTCAGAAAAATGGTGGCGCACACTGAGGATCCAAGGGTGGGGTTGAGTACCGCCCTGTACAGGGTCCAAGTCCCACTACCGCTAAACCACCGGCCAGTCACAGGTCCCATGCATTCCATTCCCTCCTCTGAAAATGGAGAAAATAGAAACGCACATCTCGGAAGCTTGTTTTAAGGATTAAGTGAGATAATAAAGCATGTTGCATAGTTTTACCTGAATAAGTATTCGCTGCTGTTAGTGTAGTGTTACTTGTGTGGAGTCAGGACTAGCAATGCCTGTCCCAGGGTTCTTCCAAGCCAGTCCTGATTGAAAACCTACTACGTGCTCCAGGCTGTCTGGGCACTGATACCCCACAGTCCTGCAGGTTGGCTCCCCCAGGAAGCTGACAGAGTTCAGTGCACAAGATGTTTATTGAAGTGCCTCTAAGGGGCGCCCGGGTGGCTCAGTTGGTTAAGCGTCTGCCTTCGGCTCAGGTCATAATCTCCGGGTCCTGGGATTGAGCCCCACATTGGGCTCCCTGCTCAACGAGAAGTCTGGTTCTCCCTCTCCCTCTGCCTCTCCCCCTGCTGGTGCTCTGCCCCCGCCCCCGCAAATAAATACATAAAAATCTTTTTTTAAAAAAGTGCCTCTAGGACCCACACCTGTGGAAGAGAGCAAAGCAGGGTTGGGCTGGGATGAGGGAGAGATGGAGCTGCCACACGGGCCCAGTGGTCACCTTGACTGGCCCCACCCAGAGCTCAGAAGCTGGAATGATCCCTTGGAGTCACCCCGAACTGGACTGACTGTACCCCCAACCTGATCAGTCACTGGCTGGAGGCTGCTGCAGAAAGGAGTGTGACCTTGAGTGAGGGGCTTCCTTGCCCTGGAGAGGCCAACGACTGAAGGCATCTGCACTCCAGCAGCACTCATCGTGGGGGGTGGGGGGGGCAGGCATCCCTAGGGCTTTGAGCTGTGCAGGACAGTGTCCCCCACAAGTAGTCAACGGAACAGATGAAGATCCCTGCTGTCCCCAAGAGGCTGTGCCAGTGCAGGCTTTTGTTCTAAAGATTACTGTCAGGATTCAGTGAAATAGTGCATGCAAATAATGACAGCTGAAGGTAGTGAAACAGATCAGGACGATTACAAGGAGAAAGGAACCAGAGGGGCGGCAGTTAGGCAGAGGGAACTCAGCTGCCTGCTGGTGTCTGGGCCCTGCTCTTCCTGTCCTCCACGCTCTGACGCGAGCGAGCACTCCAGCTCCCGCAGGCAGCTGAGTTCTGCTCCTCTTGAGTCTCTCCTGACTTTGTAAATAAAACCCTGGCATCGGGCCCCTTCTGACCTCACCTGGAGATGGCAGCCAGATGCTGCCCAAGGGCTCCCTTCCGTGAGAGGTGGCTGGTCTGCTGGGGGGAGCTGAGCTCAGGAAGGGGCCCTCGCACTCCAGCTCGCTGAGGCGGGCATCAAGCAGAGACCCAAAGAGAAGGAATCCAATTTCTGGTGTAGGAAAATGTTAGGGTTCGACGGCCAAGAAAGAGTTCTTGAGATGTCTTTGGTACAAAAAGGTGGTTTTATTAAAGCCCAGGGACAGGACCGTGGGCAGGAAGAGCTGCACTGGGTTTGTAAGGGGTGGTGATTATGTACTTGCAAGTTGGGAGGGGGTTAGGGACCGAACAAACCTCCAAGGTCTTTTGGGGAAACAAGGTTTCTAGGACACTGAGGGGCCTAGCTATTGTTGGGGAAGGTCATTTATTATTGTTTAGTAAACCCTCAGTCAGGAGACCCTTCAGATGTGTTATCAGTGGGCCATATGCTTGCAGGAGAATTCCTAACATGTATCTTGGGGTGGGCAGGTAGAGATAAAGGGAGCTTCCAAAGGAATTTCTGCATGTTTAAAGTAGACCCCAGGATCCTGGAGGGTCGGGCTAGGATTGCCTTTTGCCCCTTATCAAAGTGTCCACATCAAGGCAGTTGAGTCCCTAGAGAAATGTCACTTGGCCTGTCAATGGGCTGTAAATAGTAAGGAAACAAGAATTTTTCTTCACATCAGTTTCCTTGGCACCAACCTCTCCCAAGTCTTTGGAAAACTGTGGGGAGGAAGTCCACTGGCAGCCCAGGTGTACCCAGTTGCCCTCCCAACAGGGAACCTGATACCAGGCAGGGGAAAACCCTCAACCAGTTGCTATCAGTTCCTGGAAGGTGTGGCCAGCCGGAGGGAGAGGGGGATGGTCAAGGAGGAACTGGTGGTTGCTCAGTCTCTGACCCCTTCCTTTGTCCACCCTTCCCTCTCGGCCTCAGTTTGCCTGACGTAGGTGGGATGGGGGTAGGTCACCAGACCTGCTAAATACAAATTCAAGACACCCAGGTCAAGTTCAGTGGCAGATAAACAACAGATAATGTTTTAGTATAAGTCTGCCCGGTGCAATTTTGGAGATAGACTTAAAAAAGTGTTCTTTCTCTGAAATTCAAATTTATCTGGCAATCCTAGGTACAGATCATATGCTGGGGAGAGCCTGCAGCAAATCCAGACAGGACAGACAGCCAGGGACAGAGCCAGTGATAGAGAAAGGGACCCATCGGAGGGCACATCCGGTAATCCTGCAGCTCCCAAGGAAGGCCTGGAGGAAAGTGAAATGGATCCCACAGCAGGAACGCAGCAGGGGGCCTGGGGAGGCTCAGCCGACTCTACCCTGGACCCCCACCCACCGAGGCAGGGACGTGAGCGCCGCAGAGCAGGCTGGGCCTCAGTTGGTCCCCTTGCCTCCCCCTTTTGTTCTGGGTGACCTTAGTCAACTCTGGGCAGAGGTCAGGTTGGGCCTGAGCTGCGTATGGGTGGGGTGGAGTGCTGGGGGGGGAATGTCCGAGTGTCTGAGCGGAGAAGCAGACCCCTTGAGGGGTCTTGCAGCTTCTCCCTTGCGTAGGAGCAGGACTGCAACCCCACCTCACCTCTGCTCCCCATCACAGAGGCAAATCGCGGCATCACTCCTCAGAATTTGGACCCCCACCCACTCTTTCCTATCCCCATCCCTGGAAGCAGCCAGTTTCTTTTCATCTGTAGGTCCTGCCCAAACTTCAGTGTTCTTTCTAATAAAAAGAATCATAATGATAACTACAAATTATGGAATACATCCTCTCGGCCAGGCATCTTGTTTCATCCTGACAGTGACCTTATGAAGTAAATACCATCATCATTCCCATTTTACAGATGAGGAAAACAGAAGCTCAAGGAAGGTCAATTATCAAAGGCTCCTCGCTTGCTTTTCACAGCAGTAGAAGAAGACTCAAATCTAGGTCTGTGTGGCTCTGAGGTCCATGCTCCGTCTATTTTGTAGAGCTGGCAGTATTGTGCCCCGCTCCGTGTCTGCCCTTTGGCCAGGAGTCTTGGGGGAGGAGCACAGACTGGGTTTTTTCCTACCCAAATCCTCAGTCCCTGGCACGGAGGAAATAATAGTATTTGTTGAAAGACTAAATCTTGTTGGAAGATCAAAATGTACCTTTATCCCTCCCCTGTCCCCTGGCCCTCTGCCTAGCCTCCCAGGCCTTGTAGCAGCCGACACTTGGAATGTGAAGAGCCTTCCATGTGTCCATTTTCAGCCGGGGCTAGGGCTCAGAGGAAGGAACTGGCTTGTGACTTGTCTGTCCTGTAGCGCCCCACCAAAGGAAGCCCCGCCCCAGGCCCGCCTGGGCCCAGGGACATGTCCTTAGTCCCTAGAGGAGATAATGCCTTTGTCCCTACTCAGTTAAACAAACAGAGCTGCTAGATGTGTAAGTGGAGGTGCAGCAGGAGCAGCGCCCTGCCCGCGGAGATGGGCCCGGCCCTCCTTTCAAGGTCACCGGCAGAAGCCAGAGGACCGCGAGGCCCGGTCCGATGGAAAGGTCAAGCTTAGCCCATTTCGTAGACGGAAAAACAGGCCCAGAGCAGGGAGGCCTTGCGCCCATGCCACCAGCTGCCCTGCCTCTTCCCACACAGAAGCACAGAGCCTCGGGGTCATACCATACGGGGGCACTATTCATAGTGGGGCCTCTGTATAGGCAACCCCTAGAGTCTGGTGTCAAAGCAGGCTTTCCGCATACCTGTGCTACATACATGCACACTTCACCACCCATGACTCTGGGCCCCTATAGACCCTTCTACTCTCCCCACCCCCACCCTGCCCTGTCAGATCAGAGCCACAGGAAGCAGGGCCAGGAAGTGTGCAAACCGAGAGCCAAGATGGGGGAAGTTTATTTTCCAAGAATCATCTAAACACATGGGGAGTATTTTTAGCCCCTGGCTCCCACCCAGATGCCAAATCTAAACAGGGGCCAGAGGGAGACCAGAGAAATGGGCCATCGGGGCCATCAGGGATACAGAGCAGCCAGCGGAGACAGGGTGGGACAGGGTGCTACAGACCCCACCCTACCCCTGGTCCAAAGATATGTCTCCCTGGGAACAGCCACAGGCCAAAAGTGGGAGCTGAGGAGGTACAGAGAAGTGACCCCAAATTCTGACAGGTCCCCTTGGAAAGATGTTAGGGTTCAAAGCCAACGGCCAAGAATTCTTGAGATGTCTTTGCTGCAAAAAGGTAGCTTTATTAAAGCCCAGGGACACGACCCGTGGGGCAGAAGGAGCTGCACTGAGATCCTGAGGAGTGGCCCGTTATACACTTGCAAGTTGGGAGGGGGTTAGGGACAGAACCAACTTCCCAGGTCTTTTGGAAACAAGGTTTCCAGGATCCTGAGGGGGCTAACTATTGTTAGAAAAAGGGCATTTATTACTGTTTCATAAAAACTCAGTGAGGAGACCCTTCAGATGTGTATCAGTGGGCCGTATGCTTAGAAGAGGATTCCTAACATGTATCTTGGTTGGGGGTGGGAGTGGAGATAAAGGGAGCTTACGGAGAAATTTCTGCATGTTTAAAAGTAGACTCCAGGATCCTGGAGGGTCGGGCTAGGATGGCTTTTTGCCCCTTACCAAAGGGTCAAAATCAAGGCAGTTGAGTCCCTAGAGGAATGTCACTAGGCCTGTTTCAAGAATTTGTCATTGCGCTGTTAAGTAGTAAGGAAACTGAAGGATTTTTCTTCTGCCTTTGTTTCCCACATCACCCTAACCTCTCTCTGTGCCTTGGCATCTCGTCTGTGCAACAGAGGAAGAATACCACCCTTACAGGATTGTAGTGAGGCCCATGTCGGGCACTCAGCGGGCATCCAACGGATGTGTCTCATGGTCTTTGCTGGGAGCCGGCAACCCCAGAGAAGTCGGGTGGTGACCCAAACTATCAGGCACTGAGCCTTCCCCAGGCCTGGCCGGCCACAGTGAATGTGTGTGCAAGCGTGTGTGTACACACTGTATGCCCAGGGCAGTGACCAAGGGGCAGTAGAAGTAAATGAAAGCAGGGCTGTGGGGAGGGTAGTCTGGGCCCTCTTTCTGAATAAGGGGGCCCCTGGCAGCCCCCTAACATCTCTGGCAGAGTTGTGTCAGGAGCCAGGCTCGGTCTCTAGAAAGGGGTCTGCCCAGGGTGGTGGGGCAGCACGGAAGGATTGAATTGACTCAGAAGAGGAGACTCTCTAGAACCCACACACCCCACAAGAGGGATTGCCTGTCAGGCTCAACCTCCAGGGTGTGGGGGCCAATTCCAGGAATGGCTCCGGCAGCCACTGGCCAGGAATGACCTTGCTATGAATCACGTGCTGACAGCACTTACTGGGCCGTAGGCGTGAGGGAGGGTGGACACAACTCAGGGAAGATGTTTCAGCCCTGGGACCTGAACAAGCTGTACCCATTCTGGCACCCACTGGCCAGGTTTATTACTGTGGGGTCAGGGGAACGAGGGAGGGTCACGTGCCTTCCCCCTGGGCTCCTCGAGTCCCTTGGAGAGAGCTGGGGCTTCTGGGTCCTGCTGCCCTGTTACTCACTGAATGCCGCCTGGAGGGCCCGGAGAGGTGGGTGTGGGGCTTAGTGGTGGGGGGCACAGTTGGGATTTCTGAGAGCCCTGAGCCTCGGGTGGGAGGGGGTACTCTCAGATCCCCCAGGGGCTGCACCAGGAACCAAAGAGAACAGGTTTGGTGTCCACACACCCACTGCTGACACAGGCTGCCTGCTGTTGCCATGGTGACGGCAATACCACCACCCTCACGGCTACGTGGTCACTCGCACGAAGGGAGGAGGGTGCTTATTCTTGGTCACGGAGGGGAAAAGGGGAGGGGAAGCTCTGGAGGGGAAAAGGGCCGGTCAGGGGCCCTGAGTGTCAGGGTAGCAGAAGGCGTAGAGGTCACCTCCACCAACCAGCTCCCCTCCAGAGACCAAGGGCTTGCAGGGGGTGGGGGTAGAGGGGTTCTAGCACTGGGTAATGGGATCCCTTGAGTGCCCGATTAGCTGGCACATCTTCCTGTGGGGAAGTTCACCACCTGCAGATGGTAGAACCTGCTAGAGCACCCCCCCCAGGGACCCCTCTTCACCCAGCAACCCTCATTCTCCTCCCCTTCCCTGAGCTCAGGCTCCACAATCCAGCCCTGCCCTGGATGATGAGATCCCAGAGCCTGGGGCCCCTCGACCCCTGCTTGCCTGGCTTGGGACCTGTCCTTGGGCCCCTTATCTCCTTCTCCCTCAGTTTTCTGGACCCTCCTCCTCCCCATACCTGCCTCCTCCTGGTCTCACAAAGTGTCCAAAGACGCTCGGATTCACCTTGGATCATTGAAGCCTCCCCTCCCCCCTCCCCCCTGCAGCCCCTGCTTCCCCCCAACGGAGTATATCAGGCCCCTCTGCTCTAGCCTCTCAGGATCAAAACCAGCATCCTTACCATATCCTCCTATAAGCCCTCCCTGCCCCCCCCCCACCTAACCTCTCCCTTCTCCCTTTTACCTCCCCCACTCCCCGGCCCTCCAGCTCTCTCTCGAGGGCTTTCTCCTTCCCTCACCCCACTCCTGCTGGCCTTCCTGCTCTTCCTCTGACTGGCGCCCTTCCCTCCCCCCAGGAACACCTGCTGGCTCCCAGATGGCCCCCCTCCCTGGCCTCATTCAAGTCTTCCCGATGTCCCTTCCAGATGAGACCTTCCCTAACCACCTTCCCTTCCCAATTATGCTTCTCTGTAGCTCTTACTGCCTTCTGATACCTGTACGATGTTTGTTTGATTCACAGTGACTCCAGCTAGACTGGTGACTCCAGGAGGGCTGGCATTTTTCGTCTGCCTTCCCTGCCATATCCCCAGTGCCTAGAACATAGACGCTCAAGAAATATTTGGGCAAATAAATGAACACCCTGGCACCTCCCTTGCCTAGGCCGCACGCACACACGACCCGCACCCTCCAGCCCGAGGACAGAGGAGACAGCGCTGGGCCGGGGGCTGAGGCACCTCTACCAGAGCCCCACCATGTGGCCTCCATCCAGCCTGCTCTCTGTTCTGAGCTTCGGCTTCCTCCGTTACACAGGGAGGAGGCTGGATCGGAACTTCTGTGGCATTCTCTGTGTTGGAACTCAGAGCCGTCTTTGCATCTCTCCAAGTGCGGTGTAGACAGGGAGTTCACAAAGGTGGGAGGGGGTGCCTCATGGTCCCTGCTCAGAAGGAATCTCCAGGACTTCAGGCCCTTCCCCTGGAACAGCGGCGGATTGAGGGGAACAGGGCAGGGATAGTCACAGGGATAGATAGAAGCTAAAAATAGACCTGAGAGAGTTTTCTCCAAAAATATATCCATTTAATCATCATCAAAATCCAAGCTAGGAAGCCTGAGGAATGGAGGCCCCAGGCCTCTACACGCTGAGAGCAGAGGTCAAGTGTCCAGAAGTGAGCGATCATCGGAGGAAGCCAGCCGTCAGGCAGGTGAGCATGGGGACCAGCAGGGCGGGCAGGGGCAAGGGAAGCAGCTGTCCCGGGGCCTGAGACTTGAACACGAGGCGCTGCCCCTGGTCCTGCAAGGGCCTGACGTTATCTGTCATTCTCAGTGTCTGTTCCTTATCATAGTACAGCTTCTTGGAGAATGTGAGGATCTGTGGAAGGGACCGGGCTCAGCAGGAAACCAGGAGCCGAGCAGACCTGTGCTCCCTGCTGTGCGACCCCAGGCCAATCACCTTGCCTCTCTGAGCCCTCTTTAGTAAAGGGGCTCAGAATCTCTAGCTCTCAGGTTTCTTTTTGTTTTGTTTTGTTTTGTTTTTTCCTAGCTCTCAGGTTTTTGTGCAGATGAAAAGAATAAGGGATGTAGAATGCTTGGCACTGGTAGGGGCTTAGTTCCCACTAGCTTCCCTTAGCCAGGTGGACACACAGCTCACGGTTTTGAGGGCCCATAATCACTGATCTCTGCTGTATTATCACTGTTACTATAGAACAG